TTATTTTTATTGAAAAAAAAAACAAGAAAATTTTTTACTTTTACTTGGGATAGGTTAGGTAACGTTGTCGCGGTACACAAGGCCAACTAGGCCCGCTGTGGTGCTGCCGGATTTCTTTTTTTTCACCCCTCATTCGAACTAGGCGAGGTATTAGACCCAAGAAATCTCCAAGAAATCCAATGAGACATTGGCCCGGCAGAACCCCTACCACAGCACTGACATCCCACCGTTGGAGAGACCAGACCCTTGTGCGATATAAATCTAGCTTCTCTTCCCGATGGCCTTTTTACGTGAGCAAAGCGCAATAATCACCTTGCTTATTCGCTCCATAATGTTAGAACTCGAGTTCAAATTCGAATCAAGAATTAGAGCCAGGAAAGTAGCAGTATTACAGTACGCATATTGTGCTAGAGATATAAACCTCGGATTAATGTTATCCCTTATGTATACGTCTACAAACTTTCCCAATATCTGTCCATGTTTTGGAATGTAGGTTAAGTCTATACGGCACTCATAGATGATCTTAAGCCAAGGAAAGATGACCTCCGCAGCGTATTACACTCCTGCCGGAATTGGTGCAAGATTTACCAGCACACATTAAGTAACTTGGCACGACCGGGTATCTTGCCAAAACCTTCCCAAGTCTGGAGACCTCGGCTTCAAAACTCCTTCAAGGAAACCTTCTGAGACCTCCTCAACTGCTTCTTATACTTCCTGAGGTCATCCCTGTAAGCGTACCAATCACATGGTATTCTGGTGAACTTTGTGCTGTTAAATTGAGTTCAGCAATTTTACGGAGAATATTTATGGCCTCAGTGAGTGTGCACACCATACTGTTGAGATCCCCAGGCGTTCTAGGACGGAAGGGGACGCCGGGCCCCAGAAGATTGCTTAACGCATCTTGGAACAGCGCCCAAACAGTTCGCTTGCGGTTTCTGGCGGCAGAATTTGGCCGAGCAACGAATTCAAATCCTATAAAGCGATGGTCCTAAAAAGAATCTTTTTGCGATACCTACTAGTTCGTAACCTGGAAAGCAATGGTTATATCTATAACCTCCTGCCTATTTTTAGTAAAGAAAGTGGGATTTGGGCTTCTATTACATATAATGATTTTATCTTGAGATTAGTACTCAAGATAAAACCAAAAAGTGACTCACCTCCCGCGTTGGTATCTGAGCTCTCCAGATCACATGATGTGCATTGGCATCGCTGGCAATGATGAGGCCAGTGCCGAGCGACTTTACATTCTCCATCAAGTCCCTCAGATTACTGTCTGGAAACATCTTCTGGAAATATTAGGGCAGGTATACTGAGGCCCACCTTAAGATTCTGCCACCAATTTCAAGACTGACTGCAGTCAGATCTTCATTTTCCTAAATGGGCATTGAAGATTTTTAATGCAAAAGCATTTAAGTTATTTTTAATTAATATGCACGACCTTATGTTATCTTACCCATAGATCCTCCCTCGCGCAAGTCTAGGTTCCTGGACCAAGACTATACCTAGATCATCGGGGAAGAAGCGTAGTTGATGCCGTTTCAGAGTAGTGAATATTGATATGTCTTCGTCAACGTTTTCTCTGCATCGTTATCCAGGTCCAATAGGGCCACCTCCAGATCAAGATGATCACGTCGTTGTCTGTCAGATCCGCGCCATTCAGCATTTCTGCTTCTGATGAAAGCGATGTCTGAACAGAGGACTTATGTTCGACGGCCGCGGGTAATTTTTACCGTAGTTAATTTAAATTTACAATAATTAAGTTTATTAATATTTGATTTCTTTGTTGCTTGCATAACTCTTATTAACTTTTTTCATAATAAAAATGGAATATTTTGAATAAAAATTTCTTTGCATGTTATTTGAAACATGCTTGAAAGACTCAACCACAAACAACTTGAAAAATTCGAGCTACTTAAATAGATATACATACCTGCTAATTAAATTAAACAATGAAATTGTTCTTGAAAGAAGAGAAAAAAATCGCATACGATAAAGTGTGTCACACTATTTGTTATAAATATGGAGGATTCAGTGCACAAAGTTAAGAAAGTGACAGTGTTATTTTTGTGATTCCTCAAAAATTTTTTAAAAAGTATGGAGTTCAAATAAAGTTTTAATTTGGCCTATGATTTATCTTTCAAAGCAAGACAAGTAAATAATTATTAAATCGTTAAAAGTCATACATTCTATGTATCCGAAGTATATAGAAGTCCATCTTTGCCTCCTTTCTGGTGACATACTATGTAAATTCGCAATTCGCAAGTGGTTTGGTACTATGTATGTAACAAGTTCGCATCGCAAAAATTTATTGTTTTTTCTGACAGTATTTTAAAAGACAGAACGACATAGTAAACATTTGGACTTTTTTAAAATAGTCATACATTAAAATCATAAACTCCTATAATGTACAAGACATGTTAATATTTACTTTTTATTTTTTTATTTTATTTTGTTTTTATTCTCAGTAGAGCAATAATAGCTCGTATTATGTATATGTTTTTGCAATTTCAGAAATACAGTATATTACGGTTACGAAAATACGTAAATTTAGTGAATAATTATATTAACTTTTTGTGTTATTAAATAAAATGAAGATTTAAAATTTATATAAATAAATTTTATCTTGTGTTCGTGATATTTAGTTTGAAATAAAGGTGGAATTTGAAAAAACTAATACTAAAATTTATTTAAAAAAAAATCACTTAATAAATTTAGTAAGATTTGGTGTAGATTTTAAAGTTTTAGTTGTAATCATATTTAAATAAAATGCAATAGGAAGTATGCAGAAGCAAGTCTACGAGAAAAGAGAAACGTAAATGCTATACCTACATTTATTTTGCCAAAGAACGAGGTCACCAGGAACAAATGAATACAAGCAGTAGAAAAGCACTGTTGTTAAGATTTTAACAATTTAACTAAGTATGTAATTTAATCCCAAATAAAAGAAAATTTAAAAATTTTGTGTAATTTAGGTGATAAAATTATAGGTTTTCTTGGACTATTTTGGTTTTACCTCAAAAATATTTTGTTACCTGTAATTTATTATAATGTAATTTGGTACCTATAATTAGTAACGAGTTTGTAAGAACAAGAAATTTCATTTTGTTAATATTTAAATGAAATAAAAGAATTTCTGCATATTTTTTGTATTTAATCCTTTTTTATTTTTCAAATATCCCAAATCACCATGAATATTTCTAATTTATTCGAAAATACCTACTATAAAATATATTTCTTAACAAAAAGTACGATGATCAATTTTCAATATACAATCAATGGATTAGTAAATTGTGTATTGTTAAGTCTTATATAAAGCTGTCTGCGATTATATTGTATATTAAGGAGGTGCTTATTTTTAATTTAAAAAAAAATACATATATAGATTGCAAAATATTTTTAACAGGTAAGATTTAAATTGCTCTTGATCAACAAACCATTTTACTTATTATAACCAAAGTTTGTGAGGCTACAGAAAAAGAGTTTAGCTTGGTCCGCTTTTTTGCGAATGTGTTTGTAAAATTGCATATGTATTGCATATGGCGAAATGACATTTCTGAAGAATCATTTTTTTTTGTTGTTTTTCTAGAAAAATTATGATTTTTGCATATTTTCATTTCGAGTTTTCTCCACGAAAAGCTGAGTAAAACTTAAAAATTTTTATACTAACATTATAATAATTTGGAGTTTTCTGAACAACATATAAAAATTCAAATTTCAACTCAAGCATTTTAACTATAATTTTGATATTTGATTAAATTATTTTCGAGTTTTTTCCGCATTTCTTTGTACTGCCATGTCAGACAACATATCTTTTTTCTTTCACTCTATTATCATAAAAAAAGATAATACAGTGAATAAAAAAAATTAATGCCATATTTTTCAGTCTAGAATGCACGACTTAAATAAAGTTAATAAAAATTTTATTAGACTTTAATTTAAGTTTGTAATTATTTGATTTTAAGTTTTATAATTATCAATTATAAAACTTAATATAATTATCGTTATAAAGACGCGTCGTTTCAAGTCGTCTCTATATAAAAACAAACATGATAAAAAAATTATAAAGAAATAAGTTGTATAAGTTCTGAAGTTCTGATGCGATAGTTTACATAAATTAGCGAATTAGCCTTACCAACAATGTTAAAATAATTTCTAATAAAACTAAAATCATATACATATCTAAAAAAATTATATGGACTTTTAATATAAAAAGAATTCACATATGCAGTAATTTTAATTTAATCAACAAAATATTTCAAAAAAATTGCTCTATTTTTTTCTTGCTATAGTGTAGCATTAATTGAAATCTTAAAAAAATGAACGGAACCTAAAAGGTTTTTTCAAATCGATTTTTTTAATGTTTTGATAACACATTTAAGATTGTAAGCACTAGTAAAGAAGAAAAAGATTGAATTTTAAGTTTTTCTAATAAAAAATTTGAAAAAAGTTGATCTTGTGGGAGATTTATGGTGTTAAAAAGGGCCTTCTATAGATCCCATAAGAATACGTGTAAGTTCAAGAGCTGTTAATTGTTACTCTCTCTTAGGGTCCAAGACTGTATTTCTGTCAGCCGTGGTTTAGTCCCATAAAAATAAAATTGGAACCCAACAATGCCAAGAATAGAGAAATGACGCAAATACATGAATTTTTGCCATTATTGTGAACCGAGATGGTTTTGTATCTTATTTTGACATGTAATTATTGATTAGGAACATTTTTTTAAATGCACTAAATTTGGAATGCAAGTTTTTTTTTTACTTAATAAAGCAAAATAAATATAACATTTACATTGTTTAATTTTATTTTTTCGAAAATTTAAACTTTCTCAATAAAATTCGAAAACAAAATGGCAAGTGAATGAAAAGTATTAAAAAATGTGCAAAAGTAGGATTCTGTAGTATCACTTTTGCTACTTACGCATACGCAAATTTGCGATATTCGATTTACACAGTGCCGAAATTTTAGATGTGAAAATCGTTTAGCGAAAGTAGCACTACATAGTAGAACAACAGTAGTATAGTTAGTCGTAACGTTCCTAGTTTTGTGAAAATGGTGTTGGAGGAAATAGTTGATTAGATTGGAAAATTGATTTTAATTTATAAAAAACGTATGAAAATAGTTTAGTGAGCTTGTTTTTACAACTTTTTAGTACCTGAATAAATTATAAACATGAATCCAATAATTTTAGAAGCAACCGCAAAACATACTTCTACTGTAAGAAAATTTATTATTAAGTTGTAAAATATACAACGTATAAATATTTGGAAGTATCTACATATGCACTTTGAATGTTATTTTCTTTCAGCTTATATTCTTGCATGGTTTGGGAGATACCGGGTAAGTAAAATGGTGTAGCATAGTTGAAAAAACTTCATATTTAGGTGCCTATAAAATCATTATTTTTTTTACTTCAAAAGTAGAAATTTTTAAAATAATGTAATTTTTCAATACTGTAACGAAACAATTTTGTGCATGTACGAATACAATTTTCTTATAATTAGCCATGGTTGGAGTGCCGCTGTTGGGAGTATAAGGCCATCTCACATGAAAGTAATTTGTCCTACTGCCCCAACAATGCCCGTTTCTTTGAACGGTGGGTTTCAAATGCCTTCTTGGTTTGATTTACGAACATTAGACATATCTGGACCTGAAGATGAAGAAGGAATCAAAAGAGCAACCGGCAATATACATCAAATGATTGACAAGGAAATTGCAGAAGGTATTCCGTCAAACCGTATATTACTTGGTGGCTTTTCTCAAGGCGGGGCTTTAGCTTTATACTCGGCGCTAACGTTCAGTCGGCCACTGGGTGGTGTAATTGCTCTATCGTGCTGGTTACCGATGCATAAGCAATTTCCCGGATACATGGTGCAATATGATGAAATACCGGTCAGGTTTTTATATTTTTAAATTGTTTCTAAAACTGCAGCTATTACTATCTTCATGAGAACTTCGTTAAACTTTCGCAATATATACATTATGTATATGTATGCATGCATATACATACTTACATATGTATGTGCATGGAAAATAGTAATTTTTCAGTTAGAAAGTTTATATTTTATGTTATATTCTTTGTTTTGTAATCCTTTAACATTTTAATATGAACTTTAAACTAAGCTCAACTATGTCGGTAAAAACTAAAAATACATTTAATCTTTTAAAGTAAATATGCATACCTATCCATGGCCCAATAGAGGTACTAGGTCCTCGAGATTCGACACTTTTTGTCCCAGAAATTTATGTCGTAACTCGAATTGTCGTTTGAGGAGAAAAAAAATGTATAGAAACAAACAATGAGTTAGACAAACTATTTTATAATATAATTTACCAAACAAAACTATGTCAAAATTAATGAATAATAAAACTAATGCCATATATATCTGTTCTCATCAAGCCCAGAGAACAAATCAAAAATAAATTCCAAATTTACATGGAGCTTATTATTTCACACAAATTTATTTGTGTGACGGAAATTGATTAACATTCTTGGATCTACCGATTATACTTTTTTTTTAAATTTAAAATTTAAATTTAAAAAAATCGGTTGTTAAATTTCATCTGAAAAATGGATTTAAAAAAAAAATTGCAATTTCTAGCGCAGACAACCATTTTTGTCTCTTCCAAAGGGTACTGAATTACAGAGTAAAATTTTTGAATGAGAAACAGAATTAAAAAAGGTATTGAAAAAAAAGCAAAAAAAAAGTAATTATAATCTTGATGGCTTTTAAAACTATACTAAATAAAATGAGAATAAAAAATACATAAAAATTTCACAAAAAATATTAAAAAAATATTTCAATCGGCATACTTCGAAAACATATAATATTAAGAAAAGTTTTTGTAACTTTATCGGATTGAAAATTTCTGAAAATAATTTCAGCTTGATGGCCTGATAGATATACATATATGGCATTAAAAAAACCAAAAAAATTCAAGTTTGTAGCAAAAACTAAAATAAAATCTGATTAAGTTGATATGTACCTATATCACTTCAATTTGTATTATTAACAACTGAATTTGAAGTGTCGTATTGGAAGATGTCGTATCTCGAGGACTTAGTGTATTAATATGTACGTAAACACAAGTATTCCTACATTAAATAAAATTTTAAGTTTTTAGTTAAAGAGTAAAACCTAGTGTTATGAACTTACATTATAATTTATATTCAATATTTAAATGGTTATTGTTATTAATATTCCAATGCTTTGTTTCTAGCTCCAGAATTTTTTTTAGCTCCGATCGTTTGTAAAAAATTAAAAAAAAAATTAATTAAAACTTTTCCAATCAAAAATTGTTTTCTAAGTATTCCCCCCTAAATCCTAATTTCGAAAATGAAATTGTGTTCTTTTAAAAGTAAGACATTTGAAAAAATTCTACATGACATTATGTTTTTCTCTAATTTTGGGGTCATGAGATTTTCTCGTAGAGATTCTTTTGCTTTTATTTTTTTTTTTTTAAATTGAAGAGGGTTTGCCGGTATTGCTTCGTTTTTGTTCTTTTGATTGTTATTTTTTTTCGTCAGGCCGGTCATTTGGGTCCTCCTGTTTGGGTTTGGGTTTAATTTGTCGGCTAATGATTTTTTGTGTGCCTGCTCGTGTAAGCAGTTTCGGTGACTACGAAAATTAGCGACTGGGAGCCACTAATTTTTTTTAATATCAGTTTATTTATTTTATACAGAAATTTTTAATTTCATACCTTTATGTTTTATTCAAATAATAAAATATATATGTATGTATAAGTTATGTCTTACATTGTCTGTTTGAATTTTGTCACCTAAATATTTTACAATAGTTCTTGATGTTACCTTGATCTTACCTTCCATATTAAATTGCCTTCGAAATTTATTGTTTGTTTAACTAACATTTCACGAAATTTACATAAAATACACATGTGTATGGTAACACCCATTTATTGTTTCAAATGAGAATAATATTATAAAAATATTCTACATTATTTTTGCAATAATTTAGTTGTAATTGACATTTTTTTAAATAATTTTTATATAATAATAGTCGTTTTATATACATTTCGTAATTTTTCAGTCACAAAAAACACAAATTTTTAAATAAAGTGATAAAACTTTTACTAATTACAAATACAACATGTACTTGTTTATCTTTATTATTAATTTCTTAAAAAAATTTTGTTTACTTTGTACCAGTATCCTCGACTTTTCCAAGAAAAAAACGATATTGTTTAAAGACAATAAGAAAGAGGCTTGAAGTTTTTGGTTTCGCTGTGTTTTTTTTTTCCATATAGTATTTTTTGGAGAGTGCGAGTTATATAGAAACAAATATGTTCCTTCAACTAATATCTCTAATTCGTTGGTTTTTTTCTCTAGCAAACTTTTTTTTGGAATCGTGTAGAAAAATTAAAGATAAAATGTTTTTATTGTAAAAAGTATATATTAAAATAAATTCAAAAACTTTATAATTTTTGACTTAAATTGTATAATGGAAAACAAAGAGTAACATTAACAGAGTGTAGAGATAATCATTACTTTTTTCTTCCTTCTATTGTGTTTATAGAGAACTGTTGCAGGATTTTTATATGTAAGTGCGTTTCTCATTTAGTTGAATCAAAATTCACAAAAAAATCGGAGATGCATTTATTGGAGGATGACAGACTCTATGTTGGTGCGTGTCTAATATAATATAATTTTAAAGTCATTTTTGGTTTCATGTTGAATACGAAGCAGTGTTTTAGTAATTAGTAGCAAGAATCTTAGGATATAAATATATGTATAATTAAAAGTGTTTTTTCAATAGGAGTACCTAGATCCCAAAATAAGTCGCAAATTGTGATAAACGTAAAGTAATACTTTCTATATTTATTCAGTAAGGTTTACAATTTTTTTTATTAAAGAATGCGCATAGCACCTAATAGTGCCAATAAAATAACTTGTGATTATTCGAGTGATGTAAATCTACAGTTTGTTAACGAGCAACCTTTACATATGTACTGTGAAAATGGTCGCTGGTGAGGCCTTTGATTATGTAGTACCTACTATGAAGTCGTTGATTCTTATTTCTTTAAAATTAAGATTATGGAATCATTATTAGTATTAGGGAGAACTAAACTTCAATTCTAATCGGTTATTGCGGTCGCAACTGTATTCTATGGACTATGGACTTCTACCAAAAACACTATGGCGTACCATACAAGCAAGCGTACCTGTATGGTGCAAGTGAATTGCAATCATTACTTTATAAATACAATTGTATTGAGCAATATCACATCTTTGGAAACTAAAATAAAATTATACGTTCGTAAGATGATATCACAAGTACCGCATAAGGTGCAGAAAAATTTAGTTTAGGCCTGTAAGTGCCGGTAAGAAATCGTCAGAATGATACATATTTCGTTGAGGACACAAGTATTTAAAAAAAACTTTGAAAATATATTAAAAAAAGAACATAAGAGCTTTGTTATGAAAACTGCTGTATGTACATACATATGTATTATTATATAACTTAAGTATGCACACACGCTTGCAGATGTGTGATAGATAATACAATAGCTGCAGTTTTCAAATTCGATTTAATTCTGTTTCAAAAGAGAATTAAGTGAGTTGAGAACTGTATTTTTTTTGTTTATAGATATTTCAAGCTCACGGTGATGTGGACCCCGTGTTGCCATACAAGTTTGGGCAATTATCAGCTAGTATTATGAAAACAGTTTTGAAACAAACTCAGTTCAAAACATACAGTGGGTTATCGCATTCATCTTCTGAACAAGAATTGCAAGACATAAGGGTAAGTATCTTTGACTTCAAAAAGCGCTCAAAACGTAACTTTTACAAAGTGCGCTAACATTCAAAAAAGTTTGATGAAAGTTCTTCGCATTTTACTTCATTCAAATACATGTTTCAATTGATGTTGAATTTAACGTCAATTGACGTTGTATGTCTAAAATTTTTGTAATTTTCAGGAAAGAATAATTCCAAAATTAGAAATTTTATACTGAAAAATAAAATTGTTTTCAATAATATTCCATCACCTTAAGTGATAAAATTCACAAAATATGGGTGATTATGTATCTGAAGCCTATGAGGAAAGCGCTTTTTTCAGACTTTTTTTTTGTTTACAATTTCTCACAATCAGTGTTTTTTCGTATTTAGTCGTGTTAAGTCCGATATTTTAAATATTGAGAAAAACTATTTCGGAAGAGACGTTATAAGCAAAAAAAACTTCAATAATGCGCCTACGACGTATTATATTCTATTATATTACAACGTATTACATTCCAAATAGTTTAGTAAAAGCTCTTGACATTGTACATTTTTCCTAAATGCGTTCTATACGTAGTGGATACGTAAAATAGAAGTAAATTTTGTATCGAAAAAATCGAGCACGCTTTTCTTATACATGTCATATAAATGTTGCCAGAAATAACCAATTAAATAAACTAGCATATATTTCCAGCAATAAAGTGCTAGTTATTATTAAATATGTACAATTTGTAAGAAGGATTAGTTAAAATTTTGTTTAAAGAAAAATTATTTCAAAAAATATTTCAAAATATTGATTTATTTTAAATATTTGTAAAAAAAATCAAATTTAAACGAAATTCAAATTTCATAATATATTATCAGTTTTGTTTGACAATTTTACTGAACAACTCATAGCAATATTAATAACAATAAATGTTAATACATATATGTAAAGTTTAATGATTCTAAAACAGTATAATTTTTAACTTTAATTAAAATTATTGTTATTATTCACTGAAATAGGTGGTATATTGCAGTGTTCTTCCTTATTAATTAAGCTTCACATACTAATTCATTCTAAAACAAAATATTTTATAAATAATTCATGTCAATATTTTATTTTACTTACTGAATTCAACGGCATCGGGACCTATTCATTTCATCATTTCATCTTTTCTAGAAAAACTGTAATTATACATTTGAAATTATGTATTAATCAAAGCACTATTGAATAAATATTTCTTTTATAATATGACGTAAAAAAAACTATTTGTTTTTGTAAATGGGATTTCAAATTTAGAACTATACACCTTTTTCTTTTTTAATAAATTTTTTTCTTTTTTTCATTTGTTATAGTTTTTTTATAAGTTTTTTTCATAAAAAAAAAAAATTTTTTTTTTTTATAAAATAACATTCTTTTTTTAACACTTATTATTAAATATTTTACAATTTTTTATTTACAAAATGCCTATTTTATAAATAAAATAACAAAATCTTTCTTTGTTTACTTTTTATATAGCGGCGCGTAATTTTCTAAGAAAAAAAACACCAACATTTGGCATTTAGTGTTGATTTCAGTTTGACAAGACTTGGAGCAAATAAAGACACCTGAAGCTTCACTATGTGTTTTTTTTCACGATTATTAAGGAGTGTAAACGAGATAGAAACAAAGATGCTCCTTCTTTTTTTTTTTTTTTTTTTTTTTTTCCTTTGTTCACTTCTAGAAGGAGCATAGGGCTAGTGTATGATTTCTCATGCACTAGTTTCATAGCGTCATAAAGTTTAAACTAGGTAGGTGACTAGCCTGCCGTAGTTTTTGTTTATATTAATTATTTGAGGTTATTAATATTTACTGTTTATTTTTCTTAGTTTTTTTTTTTTTTTTTAATATCGAATATTAGGAATATTTGAAAATTACTTGTATAATATTTTTTTTTATTAGTATTGTATATTAAGTTATAATAATATTGAATATAATTTTTATAGTGACCTGACCGGGGTTTGAACCCGAGACCCTTCGGGTAAAGGACCGGTGCCATAACCACTGCACCAATGGTTAGATGCTCCTTCTTTTAGTATTTCTAATTTGTTAGTCGCAGGCGTGATAATAAAAGGTCGTACTAGTCTTGACGTGGTAGCAAATGTCAAAATCATCACATGTGCTCTTTATGCGATGTGATAGTAAACTTTTATCACCTCAAAATTTGCAATCTAGGTTTTCTAGCTTTCTAGCTATAAATAAAATGGAAAAATCGACGAAGAGTTAATTCCAAAAACTATTTTATTGCTTTTATACTAAAAAATTTTATTTTATTCTTTTAAGTAAAAGTTTAAAACGTTTTTTTCGAAATTTTGGAATACTTTTGAATTCTAAAAAATTATGTTTTAATTTAATATTTAAATATATATAAAGCTTCTTTAAAACACTGTGGGAAGTTGCAAGGAATTAAAAAAATCGGTAGCTATTATTTAAATCTTTCTTTGTTTTTTTTTATATGCAAATAAAAAAATATTTTTCACGTCATTTAATTTTCAATATTTTTGTGAAATTACGTCAGCTATTAACACTACTAAAAATATTTTTATCGTGTCTACAGATACGACTAGCAGAAAAGCATATTTGAGGTGACGTGACGTGATAGCTTTTTTTCTTTACACGTCATTGACGCGACTAACAATATGGGTGTATATATAGTAAATTAACTATTCCAACCGTAATAAAAAATCATGTGACAAAAAGCAATGTACGTAACAAAGTTATTTTCGTGTTGATTAAATTTTGACCTGTGATTTATTTAACTATTAATGAAAGGCCAATTTTGGAATTATCCGAATCCGTGGATTTGTTTGTCAATCTAGGTGGTTCTTGATTAAATATAATTGTTTCACCAATCGTCAATATTATCGGTGAGTGGTCATGTCTTAATTCATAACACTAATAAAATGGCCAGAAATATCGTTGGTTATAATGAAGTTCATTAGATCCGGAGATCTGTCTGGGCCAGTGACTCAACATGTCGGCTTGCCAGGAGAATCACACTAAAGATAAAATTGTTTCCTAGTATACTAATCATATTTTTATACACGTCTAATTTAATTTTGTGTTTAGGTGGGCAGTAATATAGCAGAACTTTTAAATTCTTTGTTTTGGTTTTGATTTTGATGGAGGTTATTTGCGTATATTCTAATTTGATTTTCCTACCTTCGTTATGGTTTAAGTTGCTTTTAATTATAATTGCTGATCCATCCCAGGCCCAATTTTCTGGATGCTCAGCGTGATAGCATAATCTTTAATGGCTATGTAGGATTCTTTCCTCAAATGAGTTTCGGAAATTAGGCAAATGTCAATTTTGTTTTTTGCACAATTGCAACTTGTATGAATGATTTAATAGCTTGTATATTATAATACCGTTGCCATTCCATGTCATTATTCTTAATGTATAGGGTATAATCGGAAAATAATCAAAAATGTGCATCAATACAGCAAACAAAAGTTGCTGATGCTTTACCGATGTGATGCGTTTACCTTATTTGAAAATGTTAATACCATGCATAAAGAAGTAATTAACTTTATTATTTATTAAGTTAAAATAATAAATGATTCAGTTTCTATTTGAGAAACTTCTCAGCTTGTATTTAAAAAAACTTTGCATCAATACAAAATCACAAAAAATTGATGCACACCTGATTTAATATGATGCGCATACAATGTTTTTTTTGACATTTTTGGACATTAAACTTTAAAGTATTGATGCATTTTCGTAGATAATTTTTAAATGATTACGCATCGATGCTGCATCGATTACTTTCCGATTATACCCAGACACGGCCCTGATGTATTCGTCGCGCTAAGCGGTTTCTAAAAAATACCCCCCCCCCCCCCTCTTCCACGGTTTCACCTATTTTATTACTGTGAACAAAATTTAATAGGTATTGCACATTGTGCGTCATAAAGCATTTTCTTGTAACCTTATTATGCTGAATGCAGGGTTAATTAGAGAATTAAAACCTGTATTTAAGCTTTCAGCTTTTTGTTTTATAAATTCAACAACAAGGTATGTTAATTAACCATATTTTAAGTACCATAAGTCCTCGAGATACGACATTTTTGGTTCCAGAAATTTATGTCGTAACTCGAATTGTCGTTTGAGGAGGGAAAAAAATGTATGGAAACAAAAAGTGAACTAGACAAACTGTTTTATAAAATAATTGATCTTTTTTTTTTTAAAAAGGTAACAAAGTTTGAAAAAAACAACAAAATATAATAACAAAACCAAAAAAATTCAATTTTGTAACAAAAATAAATAAAAAAAATCTGATTAAGTTGATATTTTATCACTTCTTTAGTTTTGTTTTATAACTAGATTCGGTATAGATTTTTATTAAAAAAACAGTAAAATCTGTCAAAAAAACAATTTTTTTTTAAATTTTCAATGTCGTATTAGGAACAATGTCGTAAGCCGAATAAAAATGATCCAAATTTATATCATGTCGTAACTCGAAAGGTCGTATTAGAAGATGTCGTATCTCGAGGTCTTAGTGTAGTTATGATCAGATTTATTTCAATTATTTAAACTTGATTTTTTGGTTTTAACAACCAAAAATTCACTTTTTGGCGTAAATTAAACTTAACTATAAACGGTTCTAAAAAAAATAATATCAATAAATGAACTCTTTCAAAGCTTCTTTGAATATAAAAAAAAGTAAAAATTTATTTACTTATATGCTTAAATGATTGTACATAGCGAAATTTTATTCGAAATTTTAAATTTACGAATAAAATTTGGCTTTTTCACAAATCGCCTGATATATGAAGCAGTGTATAAAAAAGTTCCGACTTGCATTCAAAAATTAAGGAAAATTCAAAGATTCGGTCTTAAATTTGTTACTTAAAAACTAAGCTTTTTATGTACATAGGTATAAGTATTTTATAATGTTCATTATAGTTTTTAAGATTTTATTAAAATAAATGCATTTACTGGTATTTAAAAACTTGTGGTTTTGAAATTTCAAAATGTCGTGCTGATAAATTGTTTTAATTTTTGAGAAAATTGTATGAAATTATGTGCCATTTCATTTACTTTCATTGTTTGGATGATTTAAACTACATCCATTCAACATAAAATTTTTAACTTTTACTTGATTATTAAACATCTTTTCAATTCAATATAAGTAGAGGATATTACCAATTTATATTTAATTCTGCGATTGATAACAGTTTTTTTAAAAACGAAAGCAAAACATAGTAGTAGAAATTCATTCAAAATTTTTTGTTAAACAAAAAGAAAATATTGGTATACTCAATCTCAATATCAAGTTATGCATTCCATTATTTAAGAATATTGCTCTCATTCTCTTTCTAATTTCTTTCTATTGTCATTCTTAATTTTTGTTTTTTTTTGCTCTTGTTGTTCACTAATGCAATATGTAGTATACAGAAAAAGTAATACATTATAATAATGTGTTTGTTTGTTTGGTGAGTGGGCGACAACTCAGCATAAATAATATTTTGCATATATGAAACAATTTAAATATAATGTGTACGAACGAGTGTAGCCAGGACGATCACTCAGCAGAATAAAAATCTTGCTTCATGATATAATTATATGTGTACGAGCAATCTCAGCAAAATAAAAATTTTGCTTTATGAAATAATTATATGTGTACGCAACATGTGAGTGTTGATCTTATCCATATTAGACAATGAAAATTATGTGTACATATTGTGTATTTTTGAATGTTTTTTGCGTATTTGCTTCTATGTGGGATTGAATATATACAGCTGTATGAAATAATATTCTGTATGTATGGGCATATGCGAATTTATTCTAGTATGTATATAAAAGGAAAAAAATAATAACAATTGTGATTCTGATGATTCATATCATCATTCTACGTTAACAGGGGGTGGTTTTCGTTCCTTAACATTTGATTTCTTGTTATTAACGTCTTTATCGTTAATATACATATATATTAATTTCGTTAGTGGTTATCACTAGAGATGTTCCTGCTTTACGCTTTTTACCCACCTTTTAGTTTTGGTGACCCAGGTAGAAGAGTCAGTATCAAAACTTGGTACTTCCTCCTCATTAGAGGTGAATGAAATTGATTTTTTGTAATGAACTTGAAGTTCTGTTGGATTTAGTAACTTTATCGAAACTATTAAAACCAATTCACTGTTTAGCTTTTATGAATTAATTCGGTTCATCAACATTTTTTTGCTTGTGTGTTATTGAAAATAAAATAACTTTCTACTTATTTTTTTCCAAGTTGTCGTATCTTTATTTGGGGCCTAAGCTGTTTATCTCATCGGCCACTGATTTCCAAAATGGTTTTACCTCGACCGCATTAATGTTTGGGGATCCTTGGGCTGTGTTCTCTCGTACTGTTAATTTTAATAACCACAATTACATTTTAATAATTTTTCGACTTCTTTGTATTATTTATTTTGAAACTTAATAGGTATATAGGTTTATAACCTATATACCTATTAATAGGATAACTTCACCTATATACCTATCTATTAATAGGTATATAGGTTAAGATAACTTAATAGGTTTATCTTGAAATAGGTACATATATAAAATTATCAGTTTAACGATTAAGTTTTCTATACTTTTCTATATTACTTTTAAAAACCTAATAAATAAGAATGCTGAAAAAATCGAGTTTTTTCGAGTTTTTGTGGAGACTAACTCTAACTGAAGTAGTTTTCGGTATTACATACTCACAAAAAGAAAATCATTCTCTTACCAAATTTTCACAAAAAGCTATTATAAATTGTAGGAGCGCATGAATCACCTTCATAAACCCTAACAGAGTCTAAATAATGAATTTTAAAATGAATTTTTTAATTTTGTATACGTTTACTGCATGGATAAGAGTATTATTGATTTAATAAGTTTTTTTTTAGATGTTTATAGATAATTGGACACAAAATCAATAAGAGGCTGTTGTTGCTAAGAGGCTGTTATTCAAGCAGATTAAGAGGACTAAATTCAAAAGTAAATATGTATATACAAGAAATTTAAGATCAAGTATTGGAACAAAATAAAATAGAATTGAAATCTGCGTAATGCATACATAATAAAATGTGTTTTGAATTAAGACATCAATTATAATGCTCTGAATTCGTATTGATTAAAATATAAAATATATACTATACATATGTAAATGTGCTTATATTCTATTTACATACATAAAAGTTGCGTTATGGGTTTGTCTGTTTGAAAATTAAATCAAAATAAAATAGAATTAGTGTTTATCGTTGTATTTCTATTGTACATATTTGTGTATATATCAATACATATATATAATATGCATAATTTTTTGTGTCTTAGACAAGCGTTATATTCGCCCTCTTAATGAATACGCGTTATATGCATGCATGTATTTCAAAAGGGTTTGAGGTCTTGTAATCATTGAGCAAGTTAGATTTGGTTGACGTGGCTCCTCAAATATTTAGGTTTGTTGGGGTGAAATCTTTTTGCTTCTCCAGTTTCGTTTAAATCAGCTTGAATTCCTCAAGAAGCGACTAAATTTGCTGCCAGAATATAGTGAATAATATAGGAAATATAGTAAACTGGACATGGTTATCAGTAAAGTGCAGACTCAACAAAGATTATTCAGAAAAATAACTACAATGATCCTTTGACAGAAATACGAAATGTGGAAAAAACTCTAAAATATATTAAGTCAAAATTATAGGTAAAATTGAGTTGAATATAATATAAAATTTTTGATATGTTGTTAGAAAACTCCAAATTTCATTTTATGAGTATTATAAAAATTTTTAGGTAAGTCAACTTTTCGTATAGAAAACTCGAAATGAAAAGAGACAAAAATCACCTTTTTTCTAAAAAAGAAACAACAAAAAAAAATGATTTTTCAGAAATTTCATTTCGTCAAAAATATATTTGCAATTTTAAAAAATATATACATTCACAACAACAAGGTCTAGGCCTTGATTTTTTGTGATGTCAATGTTGTAACGCTTTTTGTCAATGTAATTTGATTTAAGAAGACTTGTAGATACATATGTCTGCTTCAAATTTTGAACTAATGTCTGTACATCTAACAAGTCCCGATACTCAATTTTTTTTACAAATTAAATTTTGGCTTCGTTCGCCTTTTTTTCTTTAAATGTCACTGATCATATTTCTTATTATTTTTACCGACCGTATTGTGTAATTATGTGATGGCAACAAATTTTGCATATCGAGTTTTCGGTGGGAAGGTACTTCTCCATAGTAGGGAAGTGTAAATAAACTATTTTTAGCAACCTGTCGGTCTGTCGGTCTGTGTGTGCACGCGTGTATCTCAAGTTCGGCTGAACCGATTTTGATGAAATTTTATATGTAAGTTTATTTCTACCATGGCACGGGTTGATCAACTTTTGGTATATATCAGGCCTCGGGAACTGCACTTTTTAGCGGGCCTGTTTTACATTTTGAAGAAAATATTCAACCGATTTACTTGAAATTTTATATATAAGCTCAGCTCGACCGTCCGTGAAAATTCCTAGCTTTTGGAACAAATCAGGCATCAGCAACTGGACGTTTACTACGGGCCAAATATACATTTTTGTGTATATAAAGGGAAATAATCAACCGATTTCATTGAAATTTAATATTTGAATTCCTAGTATTAAAACAATGAACATACAAATTTTTTGGAAAGATCAGGCATCGGCAACTAGACGTTTACTACGGGTCAAACATACACTTTTGTGTATATAAAGAGAAATAATCAAGCAATTTCATTGAAATTTAATATTTGAATTCCTCGTATTAAAACAATGAACATGTAAATTTTTTGGAAAGATCAGGGCTCGAAAACTGATCTGCGGGCCGATTTTACATTTTTCACCATATCTACGGAACGAGTTGATGGAATTTCTTGAAATTTGATATTTGAGTTCTGGATGTTACCGAAACTAACTGGCGAGCATTTCAGGGAATTAGGGTAGCAGAAAGCGAAACTTTACTAAGAGCCAAATTTACATTTTTCTAGGTATGTTAACTAATAGCTTACTAATGTCCTAAAAATTGGAAAGAAGTATTTAACAGACATTTTTATAATATTCTGTAACACTTTCATTTAAGTAGATTAATACATAGACTAATACACAATGCGGTCGGTTATGTGGTGACTACATCAGATTTTTTTCTTTTTTTTACGTAAAAAAGAGTTTAATATTTCGAAAAATCTCAGGATATCATACCCATTTTTTTAAAAAGCTATCCATTTAAATTCTATTGCACGAAAAAGAAAGAAAGATAGCAGGAAAGAAAAAATGATATAAAAATTTCAAATTCATATTTCAGTATGGTTTCAAATGCTAATGAGGAAGGATGTATGATTTTTCACGTACATTTTATATTTCCTAATAAGGTAATTTGAGTAGTGTCGGCTAATAAAAATGTTACTAAAAGTAATATAGGTTGACACATTTCAACAATTTGAGTTATCTCATTTCGGTTATTTATACGTTACTTATAGAATTGTTTCAAATAATTTCTTGAATAATTTTTACCTACTTTGAATTATTTTTTTTTTTAAATGATTATTTTAAAACTATTTGAAACATGTGATATTGAGTGCTTCAAAAATTTTTTTGTGCTCTTCTTTCACATTTTATTAGCAGGTAAACAAGAGCAATCTGTTTATAAAATCGCCCTGCCTGTGTATGAATCTTACTAGTAAATGCAAACGGACAAAAAATTTATATCAGGAGCTACCACCTATTTTACAATCGGAGTTTTTGAGTCATTTGCTAAGATACTATTTCAAAAATAAAAAATATATTCGAATCCGGTCATAAAAATATATTATTATATTTTCCAAAACCTTTTAAATATTTTTTTACTTAGGTAATATATTAAGTTTTAAAAATTTTTCTGAAAAATAAAGGTAAAATTTAGAAGTGTATCCGTGACTTCAATAATACGCTTACGTCGTAAATTTTACAAAGTATCACATTTCAAAAAGTTTAGTAAAAGCTCTTGACATTCTACACTTTTCCTGAATGCGTTTTACACGTAGTGGCGTCGTAAAATAAAAGTACATCGGGTATCGAAAAAATCGAGCACGCTTTTCTTATAACTTGTCATATAAGTGTTGCCATAAATAGCCAATTAAATAAATTAGCATAAAATGCAGCATAAAAACGCAACGTTTTTAATGACTTGGTAACGTTTATTAAAAATCAACATTTGCAAAGAACTTTAAATTGAAATTTTTAAACAAACTTCAAAGTATGTAGTAATATTCCCCTCTATTATGAACATCGGTATCGGCCGATATATTATCGGCAGTTCTAATCGGTTTTAGGTTTCTTCTGTATTATGAACCGATACCGATAAAAATATTTCAACTGATTAAAAGAAGCTTTTTCATATAAATCTTTGTTTTTGTAAATTGGAGAAAAACTTTTTTTTTTCCAATGACATTTGTTTTCTTTCAAAAGTTATTTTCAAAAAATTTTTAAAATTATTTTGAATTTGGTTTTAATGTGCTAAAAAGTTGTTGTAAGCAAATTATTTTCTGTTAAATTTGTAAAATAAAAATATACATATATTGGGAAAATGTCGCGCGCATTATATTTTGAAAGTGAAGAAACGTTAGTTAGTGAAGAAACGCGAGCTATTCAAAGACGACATATAAGAGATTCAACTAATCCATTGGATTTAGACAACAAAATGTATGTTTATGTACCTATTTGATTTTATTATTTATATAATATGTACACATTTTTTAGATTTATCCAGAATTTCAGATTATCATTCCTTGCCAGGTTTAAGTCCTCTTCCATTTTTTCTACTAACCGTGCAATTTGTTTTTTGTTGCTTACGATTTTAAACCTAAATAAAATATATGAATAACATTTTGAAAAAAAATAATTTAGAAAAAATGCTTACATTTTAAAAAAGCAATTAATTACACCAGTTTCCTTGATAAAATGAAGATATTGCAAAAAAAAAAATCTGTCGTCTAAAAATTTGTACCCGCTTTTAAATCGGGGAAAATCCGACAATTTATCGTTTTCATAATACCAGCTAATACGTTTCCTATACAGGGAAAAAAAGCTTTCCTGACTCCGATAAAATTTACCGATAAACAATGTTGGTAATACAAACACAAAATTTTGCCGATAAATTATCGTTTATCGGCCGATACCGATATACATAATAGAGGGGATTGTAAAAATTGTATTTCAAAATGTACGAAAAGCTTTAGTAGTTTTTTTTACAATGTAAAGGTATTGAAAGCTTTGAGACGGTACTACAACCGTATTGATACCGTACTTAAATCTTTTTTACAGCATTATTGAAGTCACGGTATATAAAATTTGTATTTAAAAAATAATAATTGATTGTATTTTAGATATATTTTTTTAATTTTACTATGAATACTTTACTATATATTCATATCAATATTTAATAATTATCTTTCATTAATTATATTTTCAACTTGACACTACAGGTACTTCCCATATCTTGAGTTAACTTACCCTATCAGAAAAAAAAGCTGTTCACTTAAAAACAATGAAATGCTTTCAGTAGCATATAAAACGTTGAAGGCGAAGATTGTGCTTGTTGCTTTTCCGCTGTTTTATATGTATTTCAAAAATTTTAAAGTGATTATGAATGAAAATATTAATATATTTTTTTGATTTTTCAAATATATTTTCGAAATTTTACCTGTTTTATACAAAATGAGAATTTATTTTAATATGTCTTCTCAAAAAATAGCCACTTCGATTTAAAAAAACCCATATAAAATAAGGTCTTACCATTACATTTCTCTGGAATACATTCTTCTCAGAAATATGTTGAACTATGTAGTAGGTATTCATACGGGAAAAGTATTTAAATATAATATGTACATATGTATATGTAACAGCAAAAAAACCGTCGCACTTAATTTTTTTTCTCGAAATTTTGTATTAAATTAAGTTTGCCGTTGAAGTGGCCGCATCGAATCAAATAGTGAAAATTGTTTTTTGTTTTTCTCTCTTCCCCTAACATAAAAAAACAGTTATTTTGTTATTAGTTATTTAAATTTATGTGATTGTTAGAACAAGTTCAAGTTATGTACAAAAAATTAGTGAAAAATTGGTGCTATCCCCGGAACAAAAAGTGAACATCTTGGCATTATATTACAATA